TCAGTGATCGTCCCTGATCATCAGTGATCGTCCCTGATCATCACTGACAGGATCAAAATTAGTGATTCAGACCAATCTTCATTTCAGTGACCTGATATCGATTCATAAAGTCAAGATCGACCGTTTAATAAACACTTTTTATCCTCCTCTCTTCATCTACTCTCCTCTCTTCTTCTGACGTACTGACAGGAAACAGGAAGTAGTTTCTCACCGATGTAGATCTGTCTGTCGAAGCGTCCAGGTCTCATCAGAGCCGGGTCCAGGATGTCCGGCCGGTTGGTTCCTGCGAGAACCACAACGTTGGTTGCCGTGTTGAACCCTGAGAGCACAGAAACAGCTACTTTAGATTTTCCCTTAAAATCACATGACTAGACCAGTCTAACAATGTCATCATTAACGATGTCATCATTAATGATGACATCGTTAATGATGTCATCATTAATGATGTCATCGTTAATGATGTCATCATTAATGATGACATCGTTCGGGGGTTTAACAAGTGAATTAAAGAGCTGTTAAGTGTTGAGGTATGTGTGTATATAATCTGCAGGACACAGAAAGAATCCCTTAATTTAGACCTGACACAAGGACTCCATTGTTTTCAATTAAGGTAAAAGTTAAGGGATATTTTCGGGTGTTTGCCTCTTAAAACCTCTTAACAATCCATGAATTGATCCCTTATTTGGGCTGAAGCCCTGAACTTGGTCTAAATTAGAGCCCATTGTTTGAGGATGTTGGACACTGCGGATCAGAGTGCTCTGAGATTTGTCACAAACTGGACAGTACTGACTCGTCACTGACTCATCACTGACTCGTCACTGACTCGTCACTGACTCATCACTGACTTGTCATTGACTCATCACTGACTCGTCACTGACTTGTCACTGTACTTTGTATTCCAGGATTGGCTGGCCCTCACTGATTATGTGAAGGCTCAGTCACTGGTACCCGTTTAAAGCCATGCTAGGCGTGCTCCCTTCTTATATCTGCTCTTTGATTGTTCAGAGAGCTGGTGGCTATTAGCTAGTAGTGGCAGCTATAGCTTGAGATCACAAGATGTTGTCCTATTGTCTGTACCAAGTGTAAGGACTGAACTGGGAAAAAAGCCTTCAAGTGCTCGGCTCCTCTTACCTGAAACGGCCTTCAAAAGGACTTGAATCTTGGGAGCCTTATCCCGCTGCCTGATTTTAAAGTTCTGATAACCTCAATGATAAATACATCGGTTGGTTCTTGTCATTGTCTGTAGGTATTTTAATGTTGTCACTGGTACTGGATTATTTGTTGTGTTGTGTCTCGTCTGTAACTTTTCATGCTGCTGCTGTTTGGGCCAGGTCTCCCTTGAAAATGAGACCATTGATCTCAATGGACTGACCTGGTAAAATAAAATAAAATAAAAAAGAGGGTGACCTGTGACCTTCATGGAGCCCTTCAAATATTCTTCACATGTACATTTTCAAGTTTAAAGACAAACTGATCTGCATTAAAGTCATGTTCAGGGTCTGACGACGATGATGATGATGATGATGTATTCACAGGTGTGTGTGTGTGTGTGTGTGTGTGTGTGTGTGTGTGTGTGTGTGTGTGTGTGTAAAGGGACAGTTCAGCCCAAAATCAAACACACATATTTGGCCCTCAGCTGTGGAGCAGTTTATGACAGACGCAGCACTTCCTCTCTGATACAACAGAACGACGTGACCCCACACTAACGTTTCGTTCACTGAAGGTGACCCACAGAGCTCGCTGTGAGCAGTTTGATATCTACTGAACCGACTGTAACGCTACAGCTCAGCTGAGGAGGACGCCCTTAATGAACATGTTCTAACCGACGCTCTCTTTATTCGATGGACTTTAATCTTTTTTGTTTGTTTGTTCCGTTTTATTTGGTTTGATTTTTTAATATTTTATTGTCTCATTGTTGTGAGTGTCTCATAAACTTTATGTATGTAAATTGTGTCGTTCATATTCTGCCACATTGCCGACCACCCTCAGTGATGACCAGTCTCAGTCGGGGGGGCAACCCTAGTTTTGGTCAATTATATCGTGAGTAAATACTTTTGAAACACACATGTTGTCTGTTTATTGTTGGACAGAAGTGACGTGGTGCCAACGTGTCACACACACCAACACTGGTCACAGCTGTTATTTGACTGATTAATCAGAGCTGCTAATGGATAGCTTGGTGTCATTTATGACACTGAATGAATGACTTCATTATGACTTTCCTTTGTCACAGGCTGCCGCCCCGAGAGGTGGTTTGATGTCAAATAAATCATATCATTAATAATTATATTTAATGATCAGCTATTTCTAACAGTCACTTAAACACCACATGTTCCTGACACATGATACCAGAGAGGAAGTGAACACCTGACCCCTCGACAGCTCACACTAAAATGATCTGTTTGGGTGAACTGTCCCTTTAAGAAGGCGCCTGGCTGTGTTTCCCACCGTCCATCTCCACCAGCAGCTGGTTCAGCGTGTTCTCCTGTTCGCTCTGTCCCCCAAAGTTTCCTCGTCCTCGTTTCCGTCCCACAGCGTCGATCTCGTCGATGAAGAGGATGCAGGGAGCGTTCTTCCTCGCCATGACAAACAGATCTCTGACCTGCACAGGAGGTGACATCACTCTGAGTTTAGAGGTGCTCATTGCGTTCCCTGAGGTCAAAGGTCACAGTGTATTTCAGGAACAAGTTTACGACCAAACAAACTGATCAATCAAATATGTCTCATTAATTTAACGAGCTGTTCGACTTCCTGTAGACGCAGCGTGACGATCAGTCCGCCCACAGTCACACAGAGTCTGAACATATCCTGTACGCTCACCATCGCAGGAGGGTTTGTTCATTTCTGTGTTTGTGAAATCAAATATTTTCTTGTGTTCTTTTTTAATGATTTTTGGGGAAAATGTGTCGCTGTCAGCTTATTTTGTTTCAGTAAACGTCCGACAGACGCCGCCGAGGAATAAAGAATCTGACTCTGAATTTATGTTCAAGTTGAACGTCAAACTAAATCTGGATGTTTTTTTCGTTTCGTCATCAATGACTGAAAGATATTTTTAACAACAGTTCAAAGAGTCGACACTAAAATGATCTTCAGATCTACTTCAGTTCATCAGTGACGCTTCTGAACAGACATTCAAACATTTTAAATTCAGGAGCTGCCCCTGCAGAGCTTCCTTAGACAGGAAGTCAGCAGAAACAGCTTCCTCTGTGTGTGTGTGTGTGTGTGTGTGTGTGTGCGAGTGTGTGTGTGTCTTCCTAACCCTGGCGGGGCCGACGCCCACAAACATCTCCAGGAACTCTGAGCCGTTGACGGTGATGAACGGTACGTTGGCCTCACCAGCCGTTGCTTTGGCCAGAAGAGTCTTTCCTGTTCCTGGAGGACCCGTCAAGATGGCTCCCTGTACACATCAACATCAACCATTAACTGCTGAATGCAACCCTCACCTCAGAGGTCCAGGTCCCCCCCCCCCCCCCCCCCCCCCCCCCCCCCCCCCCCCCCCCCCCCCCCCCCCCCGCCCCCCCCCCCCCCCCCCCCCCACACCCTCACCTCAGAGGTCCAGGTCCCCCCTCACCTTGGGGATCTTGGCGCCCAGGTCTTGGTACTGTTTGGGGTTCTTGAGGAAGTTGACGAACTCCATGATCTCCAGCTTCGCCTCCTCGCAGCCCGCCACGTCTTTGAACTTCACATCAATCTCATCTTTTAGGATCTTAGCCGTTGTCTCGCTGACACTGAACAGTCCGCCCATTCCCCGGCCGGGACGCCCCGCCCCCGCCGGTCCCCGCCGCAGCATGAACAGCAGGAAGCCAATGATGAGCACAGTGGGGAGCATGCTCAGTAGGAAGGTGCTGAGGAGGGAAGAGGAACAATAGAGTAGAGACCTTCGGCTGTATAAACTGTAGCCGTGTGGTGGACGTGACGTCATTCCTCACCCGTCACTCTCGGTGGAATAAACCACCGGCAGTCTGTTCTCCCCCTCGATGCCGAGCTCGTACTGAGCTGTCTCCAGATTCCTCTCAAACGTGTCCACGCTGCCGATGTTGAACCACACGTACTGCTGAAAGAGACAGAGACACAGACTGAACCTCCTCCTTCACGCTCCACCTTCACCCAGCAGCCAGAACACGTAAATATGAAGCATGCGTCACTTCTCTGAGCAATCAGCTGGTGCGTTCTGACCTCTGACCCTATCGACACATCTGAATGTGCTCTACACAGTTTCTACACAACTTACGATGTCACCGCTCGGGCAGAGAAACACCAGAGCAGCTACTTCCTGCTGAGTGACGAGCAGCTGACTCCTCCAGACTGACCGGAGTGAAACACTCAGACTGAGACATATTAACATAGATCCTGTCTGTGGAAACAGACTCTGATGTTACAGTCTGAGGTTGAACAGATCCATGTTTTTAACATGGTTCGAGTAGACGTGACTCCGACCGTCAGACTGTGACAGGAGGATCTTGACGACCAGACAGATTATAGATTTTTTTTTTTTTTTTTTTTAAAGATATTTTTTGGGGCATTTTTGCCTTTAATTGAGAGGACAGTTAAGTGTGAGGGGGGAGAGAGAGAGGGAGTGACATGCAGCAAAGGCCCACAGGCTGGAGTCGAACCCGGGCTGCTGCAGCAATAGCCTTGTACATGGGACGCCTGCTCTATCCACTAAGCCACTGACACCCCACAGATTATAGATTTAGGCTGCGTTCACACCTGCCCTGTTTGGTTTGGTTCAGTCTGACTCAGATTAGTTTGCCCCCTCAGTGTGGTTGGTTTGTGCAGGTGTGAACACACCAAAACAACCAGACTGAGACCTTCTTGAAGAGGTGGTCTCAGTCCGGTTCCAAAGGAACTCTGGTGCGGTTGGTTTGTGGTGAGAAGGTGTTCCGACCTGGATGTGAAGCAACTGCAGTCACATGACACATTGTTTGGGTTAAACATGAGCATGTTACAGTCCTGGAGGATTATTAATGTGCACCTCCTCCTGTACTGCCTTAATATGCACATTCAGCACATCCAATGCATCAAAACATTGTTTTCTAGTTGGAGCCGCGCCTCGTTTTCAAACTGTATGGTTTGACTAAAATGAACAATGACAGCAATATAGTCCACGATGAGCAGCGCTAAAATCAACCTGCGTAGTTGTCCCTCCATTGTGACATTAGAAAGTGTCACATTTATCTTGCAAGTGTACTCTTCTTCAACGTTTGCTTTACTTCCTGGATTTTTCCCACATGGAAATTCTGACCAATCAAGAGCAGCTTTCTCACACAAGGCATTTGATCTGGTCCTCTTGTAAATGCTGCCGTGAGAACACGAACCAACTCTAGGTAATTATACAACTTTGGAACAATATGAGTCCCTGATTCAGACCAGAGGAGACCACTCTAGGGCTGACAGCAGCCTGAGGCCGGTGGTTTTAAACCTTTCTTTGCCCGAGGCTCACCTGTATTTATACCTGTGAGACTCTATAACATGTAACGCTCTTATCATCACGTAAATGCGGTTTTTATTACTCATGAAATATTCATGAACAAAATGATTCAAGAATTCATTTTTAACTTTTTAAAGTTACAGTACAGGCCAAAAGTTTGGACACACCTTCTCATTCAATGCATTTTCTTTATTTTCATGACTATTTACATTGTAGATTCTCACTGAAGGCATCAAAACTATGAATGAACACATGTGGAGTTATGTACTTAACAAAAAAAGGTGAAATAACTGAAAACATGTTTTATATTCTAGTTTCTTCAAAATAGCCACCCTTTGCTCTGATTACTGCTTTGCACACTCTTGGCATTCTCTCCATGAGCTTCAAGAGGTAGTCACCTGAAATGGTTT